TTGCCATCTCAAGTTTCAAAACACACAACATTTTGTTTCTTTCCTGTACATCAGAATGTGTAATGTTTATTTTTTTCTGAGCAAAAAATAATGACTATCATACATTTTTTTTTAACAGAAATCACCCACTAAAATCTCATTCAGCGTAACAATAGTTCATATAACAAAAAATCTTGTCAGGCACATTTAGAACCGGAACCATTAGATGTCAGTAAAAGACTCAACACAGTGCAGCCCCCAAAAACGGATGAATCGTCATTTTAAAAGTTTTACCCATCTTTACCGCTATCCTTAATAGAGATTTTTAATAATAGAAATTATGATAAAAGCTGATCACACTTTATTTTAATGTCCAATTCTCACTATTAACTATGACTTTTGCCTCAATAAACTCCTAATCTGCTGCTTATTAATAATTAGTAAGGTAGTTGTTAAGTTTAGGTATGGGGTAGGATTAAGGGATCTAAAATATGGTCTTGCAGAATAAGGCATTAATGTGTGCTTTATAAGTACTAATAAACAGCCAATATACTACTAATATGCATGCTTGTTAATAGTGAGAATTGGTCCTTAAAGGGTTAGTTCACCCAAAAAAGAAAATTAGCCCAAGAATTACTCCCCCTCAAGTCATCTTCTTTCAGACGAATCCAGTCAGAGTTATATTAAAAATTGTCTTAGATCTTCCAAGCTGTTTAATGGCACTCAGCAGGTGTTGCAGTTCATCAGTCCAAAATAAGTTAAATAAAGCACATCCATCCATAATAAAAAAGTGCCTCACACGGCTCCGGGGGGTGAACAAAGGCCTCCTGTAGCGAATCGATGCGTTTTTGTAAGAAAAATATCCATATTTAAAACGTAATATTCACTTTAATCTAGCTTGCGCTCACTGTTGTACACGTAAGCAGCTCTGGGCGGATGACGTAAGATGTCGGCGTTGCGCAGGCACCGCTCAGAAGTGACGAACGCGGAAGTGCAGGGGAGAGATCAAAACAAAACAACGGTCACGAATTAGAAGTACAAAACGAGGATTTGTAAAGAAGAATGTCGGAGGATTTCAATATAAGCCAAGAGGAGACTGGTTTTCCTTTGCTAAAGTAAGGAAACTTTGCTCCTGTAAACAAACGTTGGTTTTCACGAGACTCCCTGGCGCATGAGGAACGCCGACATCTTACGTCATCCGCCAGGAGCTGCTTCTGTGTACAACTGTTGCCGCAAGCTAGATTAAAGTGATTATTACGTTTTGAATATGGATATTTTTCTTACAAAAACGCATCGACTCGCTACAGGACGCCTTTGTTCACCCCCCCAGAGCCGTGTGAGGCACTGTTTATTACGGATGGATGCGCTTTATTTCACTTCTTTTGGACTGATGCACTGCAACACCCGCTGACTGCCATTAATCAGCTTGGAAGATCAAAGCCCATTTTTAATATAACTCCGACTGGATTCATCTGAAAGAAGAAAGTCATATACGCCTAGGATGGCTTGGGGGTGAGTAAATAATGGGCTAATTTTTTTTGGGTGAACTAACCCTTTAAAGTAAATAAAGTATTACCTAAAATTTAGCATGATCAATTTTTCGTTTTTATATTTTAATAAGCACAGGTCAGAACAAGAATGTTGTTTTTATTGTTACATAAATATGTCTGTTACGGAACATTATTTCACCCATACTTTGACATTTTATTTTCATAAATATTATTTGAAACATTAAAGCAGACACTTTACTTGCATTTAATATGATTTCTATGTGTATAAAATCACTTTTGTAATTTAATTTGATGCGGACACCAAACTGGGACGTCTCCTTTTTGACCTATGTATCTACAGACTGATGAGCAGAGAGAAGTAAACGCACGGAGCATGCCGCGGTAGTTGAGGTCCATGTCTCTACTCTCCGAGCGGGTCTGTATGGCATCTAGCAGGTCGTCCGGGCTGAGGAGGCCCGAGGGACGAACAACATTCAGCATTTCAGAGAGGGTCATCAGGGGCAGTCGCACTGCTGACATCACTTCCTTCGCCTCTGGTCCATCGCCGTTGTGGTGACACCAGCGACAGAGGGCCTGAAATATCTCCTTCTCACTTGCAGCGAAGGAATCTCTCCTCACAACAGTCAACAGGGCAGACTGCAGAGAAGAAAAAAGAGGAAACGGCCATATTATGTATTAATCGTAACTGTTATATTTTAAAATTGTCATATTTTCTATCACTCACCTTTGAAAGTGTGAGAAAGCCATCTGACTTCAACACTTCGGTGGCGTTACGGTCCATGTAGGTCATGCAGGCCTCGGCCAGCCCGTTCAGACAGTACAGACTAGCCACGTCAAACACCAGACAGACGTTTCGCGTGCTTAATAAAGTGCGGAGATACTCGCATATGGAGCCCTCTAGTGGTTGGAGGCCATAGCGGTGCGCCAACCCCAGGAAATCTAACAAAGTCTCTTCTCTGGCTTCACTCAGGGTGGCTCGGCCCGTGTACAGGTACCGCAACAAGAGGGAAAAAGCCTCGGCACGTGTTTCCTCCAACCGAACCTCCGCCTGGGCCCGGGACTCTCTCAGCCCTCCATACAGCAGAGCCCTGAGGAGTCCGAACGAAAGACAAAGAATAAAGAGGTTGAGATGAAGGAAGAATTTCACCAAGTTTAGGTTACAAAGCCTATTTTATTAACAAGAAATGAACATCCTACAAAATGGGTATATCTTTGCAACACTGACACTGTTATTGAACTGAACTGGCTCAAAATGTGTCTCTCATTAATATGTGTAACAAAATGATTAACAAAGAATAGCTGATGCTGATGCTTTTATAATGTAAACGAAGATCTTGTCATTTTTTTGCTTTTCTGATTTTGTGTAGAAAACATAATTGTATTTTGTAGAAACATCAGCATCAAATTCTCATTCTGAATTGATAATTATATCCTAATGCATATACAAATTTAGGTAATACTTAACAATAATGCTCCATTTGTACACTTTTGTTAACTACATTGACAATTGAAAAATACTTAGTTCATTTAAACATTTTCTAATACATTATTCAAATTAAAAGTTGTACATGTTGTGACCTGAAATAACATGAACTAGTTATATTCATATTCCTTCACATTAACAAGATTAATAAATGCTGCAAAAAAAATTATTGGTCATTGTTAGTTAATATTAGTTAATACAATGTTAAATGAGATATTATTGTAAAGTGTTACCAAAATCTATTAATGTAGCTACAGATGACCCAATTCAATTTATTAACAAATTACTGCATCACTTTTGTCACATTATGTCTCTGAATGTTTAAAAATGTAAAAGGCATGCGTTTCATAGAATGACCCAGCTTTACTTGGTACCACATGGATTCTGTTCCTATCATAATTTCACTTAAGAAACACCCCAATAGACATACAACATCTCTCAAATAATAACCTGAAATACTGGCAGCGGGCTGCTAGAATGACTCTGTGTGCAGGAAAGCGCTTCTCCTCCACCACGAAGGTAACATCGCTGTACTCTTCACCGGGAACTAAAGCGCCGAGCTGCTCTGAAAGGAGATGGAGGTGATCGATCTCCGACGCGGAGCTCATCGGCCGCAGAGGATGACTGTCGCTCATGATCACTGCCGGAGAACACAATCATAAAAGACATAAGTATTTGAATTTGTCAATGAGCATGGTACAATGAACGATTCCTACTGGACAGGACATTTTTGTTTGCTATTCATATGTCTTAGTATATAAGTTGTTCCCCCTGTCGTCTGTCACTTTCCATACTGTTAGTGTTCATCTATTATAAAAATCTAAATTTATTAAAAAAATGGTATAAGCTGGTTTGTCTTATTTTAAAAAACTTAAATCTTAGTTAACACTCTTATAAGCTGCAAATATAATATATATAAAAGAAGAAGAATGCATAAATGGTCTGATCATTATATAGATATGTAATATAAGATAGGGACATCCAGTAACAAAATATTATTATGCGCCTTGGCATATAAAATATACAAATTTGTCACTAAATAAACATAAATCAGAACATCAGTGAGATCATTCAGTGTCAATAACAAGATGAATAATAAGAACACAAGTATTGCTCTGTTTTCGTTACAAATTATTAAATAAGGCACGATTACTTTAGAAAAATGTACACAAATGCACACTTCTTATTTACATTTCATTTGTACATAACACACCTGTACACACAAATACCATCTATTGTCTATTTCGTATATTTTTTTTATAAGTTTTTGGTATATTGTTATTTCCTATTTACTTAACAAAACAAATTCCTCGTATGTGTAAACATACCTGGCAATAAAGCTCTTTCTGATTCTGAAAACTGAATCATAACGAGAATATATATGTCTGTAAGCCAGCAACACTCACCCACGCTAATGCAGCTTCAAATTGTCTCCGGCTAAAGATACCGAGAAGGTATCTTTTTGATTCCAGTGAATATATGTCAAATATATATTTAACATTAAACTAAATATGTTAAATACACATTTGTTAAGAGCTACTAATGCATCTGTTCCACTGCAAAAAAAACACCTACCGGATGTTTTTAAGGCGTCTGGACGTTACGTGTTAATGTCGCAGCGCCTCTAGTGGACGGAGGAGGAATAATGCTTTAAACGCTCGTGAGAACCAGAAAAACGTTTTGTGAATTTTTTTTAACCATTTTTTTATGAATCACAGCACACACTGGCCCAGCTAACCAATCACAGCACACACTGACCCAGCTAACCAATCACAGCACACACTGGCCCAGCTAACCAATCACAGCACATTTCGTATTTCAGAAGGCGGGATTTCATTTAATACAGGAACTATTAGAGCCGTTCCTGCCAGACTGGGGAGAGAGGTGTTGTAAGATATGTGAAAAATAATGTTTTTTTCAAACAACCTAGTATGAGAGCCTGTTCTAGTACACCCCCAACATAAATATAAAGATATATCTTATTGAAATAAGAAATATATATATATATTTCAGATACATAGTTCAGCCTAACTATGAAAGAAAGAAATGTTATATTTACCAAAGCCTCTTGGGTCTGAGTTGCCGTTGTGGTAAGACTGGCTGTCATCTGTCTCCGAGCCCCAGTTACTGATAAAAAGAGAACAGTCAAATGAGAAATATAGAATGGCACATAAAAACAGCCTCGCACTTTGGACTTCTGTTCAGAAGAATTACAGTATTACAGGATCGGCACAGACATCATTCAGGTCTTAATTCACAGAACTCTACGCAGAAGAGGAGTGCTCAACTTGTATGGATTTTTACATGGCTGGCGCTGATATGTAAAGACCAGGAAGATTTTAATCTGTTCCTTACAGCACACACACACACGCAAATGCACACGCACACACGCACACGCACACACACACACACACCCTTACTGTGTGAGCTCTATAGTGGCTCGACGAGAGAACGTCCAGGCCGTCCTCTCCTTCACATCTGCAGGGATCTCTTTCTTATCCTCAAAACCCAGAAAATACAGGGAGAATTGCATGGAGGGGAAGTCAAACTTCTGTAACAGCCTACAACGAAACATTCACATTAAAAAGACTTCAATGCAAACTAGTGTACTCAACTGATAATCCCATTAACATGCATTTCCAATGCTTTCTACTACATTTTGCAATGCCTATTTTGTTGCGCGTGTGATGAAAATAGAACTCAAATGTTTTTTCTAAACGCTTTTACATGCATAATACATTTGGATATTGCAAGTAAAACCTAAAGCGAATCATATCAAGCCTGAATTTTTAATAGAGAAAAAGTTCTCTCACGTCATTCCTAGTACGCGTGTGTAGAAATCCAGGGATTTAACCGGATCCTTAACCCGCAGCATCGTCTGCTGCATCATGAAGTCCTACAGCAGTGGGATGAATAGCTTTCAGTAAGAACATAATGTAAAAGATGGATAAGGTGAGGAAACAAATGATAAACAGAGGCATCCAAAAGCATTTTTAATAATGGTCTGGGCATTTGAGCAACACACAATTATGAATAGAATTCAAATTATGTAATATTCAAACGATGTCATTCTCTAGCAGCTCTGCTCTATGGATGTGCTCTTACGAATTATGATCATTATTAACAGCTCTCTGATATAGATGATATTTCACAGCATCTCCTGGGTTAAAACTGCACAAATTTGCTTAAGATTATGGACAGAAATTGTTACAAAATTCCTGATGTTACCAAGTGTTCCATAATGAAAGTTTGTGTGTTCTTATAGTAATATTTGTATGTAGGCACTGCTGTCTGTGACACTGGACGAGCCACCGGTCAACATTGCATCTGTGTACAATGTCAAAGGTCATCCTTACTAACTTAAATCAATCTGCATTGCATACAGAATCTGTTTGTCACTTCCATATGACTCAGCAATACAGCACTTACACAGACAATCTTCACAAAGTCAGCTGAGAAACTAACAGAGACTCAGAGATGCGGATAAATCACTGTAAAATAGCACTGATATCAAGGAGATGCTCTGAATCGCAAAGTTTGCCTGCAGTGGTTCTAAAGGAGAACAGGGAAATAAATGAGCGACGATCTTCGCGTTTGATTGACAGGTCTCGCCCTAGTTCTGGACTCAAGTGCAGCGTCTTACTTTAGTGATGGGGTTTCCTTCTTTACACGCAGCGACTGCTGCTTCATTCGTCAGCCCTTGGTCGGTCATTTTTTTGGTGTGTTTCGGCTTGATGGTCACTTGGCGGCTGACACTTCGGCGGAAAGTTAGCACGCAGGGGGCGTGGTCATTGCGCATAGCGTCAGCGGCTTGACGTAACTGTGGGAGGAGCGATAAAATAACTGAGCTGCTGTAATTTCACTTTCCTTCCTGCAGAGGGCGAAAAAGTGTTTCTCGGTGAGTGGGTTTCCATTAATGTCTTATACAGTCAAAATTATTCAGACACCAGATTTTTTTTTACTAGTGGGTGCAGGTCACTATAGTTAATTTATGTAAGTGAGGATAGCAAAACAAAGTAAACTGTGACATATTATACCCAAAAATTATCCATACAGTGGACTACCAATAAAATTGATAAAACTTTGGGACCAAACGTTGACCTGACCATGTTTTGCTTAATTGTTATCTGACATTATCAAGACTAATTTGTTCTGACACAGTTTAACTCTCGAGTTCTTGTCATTTATTATTAACATTTTCTAAACTATAGCGAATAAACTGATAATGTGAGAAATGTTGAAGGTGTCTGAATACATTTTGGTTTGACTCTATATATTAAAATAAAAGAGACAAAGGGAGAAACTCTTAGGCCATAAATATCATTCCGTAAGACATCCTACACACATCCTTAAAACGAACACACGTGACCCCATCATGTGTTCTGAGTGAATGTATAGGTGCCTTGGGCTGTGTGTGAAAAGACAATATTGTGTGTGTGTAAACTACTCAGTGTATGTGGAGAGTTAAGAATGAAGATAATAATAAAAAAAAAAGAATTTGATTAGAAAAGATTTACAAATCTGATCAAATGTATTGTATTGACGCAGGTAAGAACATGCACGTAAATGTAGATATTCTGAAATGTATGTGTGTTTGTGTGTGTGCATCTATAAATATATTTAAATAATTAAATAATTAAAATACAGACACATTAAAAAGTGCATCTATTCTCCATCTTGAGACAATAAACCCTAAATGACAATAAATGGACTTAAAGAGCCAATGGTTGGCTTATTGTTTTAATAAAAAAAACAAAGATGACGAGGGGAAACAAGCTAGCAATTAAGTTAATACAAACGCACATGGAATTGCTATTAGAATATGTGCAAAGCTGATGAGATAATGTGATAATGTGATATCTCACACAGCATGGCCAGTCACTCATACTACTGCACGGTGTGACAAAGAGAATCTCCTTGCACTGGCTACCGGTTGCGGCTCGCATCAAGTTCAAGACACTGATGCTTGCATATAGAACAGCCACAGGCTCAGCACCCGCCTACTTCCACTCACTACTACGAATCTACATCCCCTCCAGAAGTCTGAGATGCACTAGTGAGCGACGCCTCGTGGTACCATCACAGAGGCTCAAAATCACTTTCCAGCACATTCTCGTTCACCGTTCCTGGCTGGTGGAACGATCTTCCCACCCCTTTCCGGAATGCTGAATCCCTGACAATTTTCAAGCGACAGCTGAAAACTCCTCTCTTTAAACGCTACTTGACTTCATCTTAAAAAAATTAAAATAAAAATGTCTTTCTCTTTATTTATTCATTCCCTTTCTAGCTTGTACTTATTTGAACAATGCCTAAAACTTGGTATTACAGGCACTTCCTGTGTCTGTTTGCCTCTTTAAGAAGAATCGCGTTATGTATTCCCCAATTGTAAGTCGCTTTGGATAAAAGCGTCTGCTAAATGACTAAATGCAAAATGTAGAAAGAAAAAGTAGATGATAAAATAAAAAGTCTGCGAGGAAAATTATGTGAGAAAACAAGACATGTTGAAAAGTTGCTAAATTCCTAATTGGATTGGTTAACTGATAAACAAATGAACATCGTAAGCCCTCCTACTCCCGTTCACCAAAAATGTACACTTTTGGTTCTTCTTCATCCACCTTAGTCTTCCTCAGAATCCCATAATTATCCATTACCTAAAATGAAGCCATGCAATTGATGAAACTGTTTTCTATGACTCCCTTAGTCTCTCCCAAGGCCTGGTAACCTTGAAATCAGTTACTCTTGAAACATGAGAGCACTATTTCACTAAGTTATCACGGAGGAGGATGACAGGTGCATTTCAATGAAACATTCCTGTGAAAAACACTTAATTCTTGCTTTGCGGTGTGTCTTTTTATCTTACACCTTTAACCCTATATGATTATTCAGGTAGTGTAAGGATAGTCAAAGTCAAGTCAAAGTCTGCTTTATTGTCAGTTCTGCCATATGTACAGAGAATTGAAATGACGTTACGCTCAGACCCTTGGTGGATCCAGATAACACTAAACCCTAAAGGTGGAATGTAAAGATACAAAAGAATACATTTAAATATAATATAAATATAGGTAAAGTAGCACAAGGCACATAGAGTGCAAACCAGTGAAATAAACAAACAGTGCTGATGTAAAAAGCTGTGCAAGAGAGCTTATCAGTCTGTTTAAAGTGACAGAGAGCTCAAAGAGCAGCCTTCTTTTGGGGGGGGGGGGGGTGTTGGGGGTCAGAGGGTCAAAGTTCAGCAGTGCATGTGGAAGAAGAGGGAAGAGAGTTGAGCTTGCTGACGGCCTGATGGATAAAGCTGTCCTTCAGACTGAAAAAGCTGTGTGTCGGGTGGGTAGGATCGGGTAGTCGGGGGCTGTAGATGTCGTGGAGGAAGAGGAGACAGACACCAACGATCTTCTCAGCTGCTCTCACTATGCTTTGGAGGGTCTTGCAGCAGGACGCGTTGCAGGCGCCATATACCACACAGTGATGCAGCTCAGTAGACTCCTTTGTGGATGTTCTTCAAAAACAAAACAAAAGAATATACACACAGATTTGTTGCCAGGGTAACAACAACAAAAAACAAGGTAATAAAATTTCATCTTAAGAAGACAAAAAGGACTAATATAAAGATACTGTTTTCATAGCTTTCAAATGAACAGAACTTTGGATAGTTTCCACATACTTATCAAAGTCCACTTTAAATAAGGAGAAGAGAGGTTTAGAGCCAGTAAACTTTTGTTTATGAATGTGAAATTTAGCTAACAGGAAACATAAATTAATTATGTCACATTTTCCGGTATTCTCTTTTGAACAGGCAGACAATCCAAAGAAAGCATCATTAAAACAAAAAGAGAAGTCACTTACAAAATAAGATTGAATAAGCACTAAAAAATCTGACCATTTTTCTGTGTAGGAGCATTGCCAAAATAAATGAATGAAGTCTCTTCTTCAGAAGAATGACAAAAACAGCAACTCACTTCAATGTCTGACTTATATTTCCTAAGTTATACTTATACTATCCTTTAGTTGGGTAACATTTGTGAATCAACTTAAATGTTATTTTTGTACTTTATTGGTAAGCAGATATCTGGCAAGGTCAAGGTCCATACTTTCTCCCAAGGTATATTCTCCACAATGCTATTCCAAGGTATTATGTAGGGATTGTTGTTTTCTCTCTTTGAAAAAGAGCTCTAATTTTATAGTTATTTTTTTTGTTGATCTCTAGACAAGCAAACACTTCCGATCATTGTGTCCATTAGTTGGGTAACATTTGTGAATCAACTTAAATGTTATTTTTGTACTTTATTGGTAAGCAGATATCTGGCAAGGTCAAGGTCCATACTTTCTCCCAAGGTATATTCTCCACAATGCTATTCCAAGGTATTATGTAGGGATTGTTGTTATCTCTCTTTGAAAAAGAGCTCTAATTTTATAGTTATTTTTTTTGTTGATCTCTAGACAAGCAAACACTTCCGATCATTGTGTCCGTTAAATTCAGAGTGTAAGTACATGGCCATGGAAGTGTAGTACCTTGTAACAGA